TACAATGTTACCATCTATACCAAAAGGACAGTACAACAGCTCCAAGTGCACCTAAAGCCAACAACAATGTGCATTATAGAATAGAACACCAATTTTCTTGTACGAGAGTGACAGTATCTGCTACATTGTTGACTAAATATCAAATATAGTATCGACAATGTACCATGTAATGTAGATAGTAGCCGGTGCAAAAATTTCTACCCTTTTCGTATGCGTACAATGCAAGTAAACTGTAAATCCTATTCTCACCTGGCCCCTGTATTTAGTATCCCTCTGGACCTCCAAATCCTTCACCAGCTTTAACCACACATCCTTCACTTTGCCAGGCTCAAGCTGGCTCAGTTTCACTTGAGCACAGCCAATGAGTTCTGCAGCCTGAAGTCCTTCATGGTCGAAAATTCTTATTGTCAAGTGTTGAGTCGATGAATCTTCGACTACGAACTCGAAGTGCTCATTCCAGATTGGATTTAAATCGTTATCCTGTACCACATGATAAATACTTCTATTCAATTAAGTGAAGTTCTAAATCATATCCACTTTGAGAAAACATGAGTTTTTCTTACAATGACTTTGCTGGTTTTGGTTCTATCAGGAAGGGGACGTATGAATATCGCAGCAAAAGGGTCTGATTTTCCCACCAGGTCCTTGTTTGTTAACTCCTTGGCTTCCACAAGCTTCACTTCTAATGTTCCAACAGGCTTCAACTCCAAGTCACTGTCACATAACAAAATCTTAGAAGACAGAAACTTCTAGCAGAGTAAGAAAATTTGCACTGATATATCAATTAGGCCATATTGTTGTGATTTCTAGAGTTCATTATAATTTTGTATACCTATAATCTCCAGGTATTATCGGTATAACATTGCGTACTGGCCAAGTTATACAATCTTCGATAGCATCTCGTATTGTTTCCTGAAATAGCATGACAATTCCAATAGAGGGCAGTGTGGGAAGAGTAATTCAAATTAACAGTCATGTTGAACAAGACGTTCTATCATCTGATGAAGTTCTGCAGATATGATTCAATTACATGTGTAGCAGAGAATTCAGGTTTTTGTGCAATATGCCATAATCTTTTATTACAAGAAGGCAAAGTTTGCTCAAACCTCAATAGCATCAGAAACGCCTGGGATTGATGATATGTCACCACCAGAAATTTTAAACACAAAATCCAGCTTTTTCTGCAGGTAGAGATACAAGAAATATGACATCAAAATCAAGTTTGTTACATGTAAATGTAGTTATGAACAAATTTATATATCTATAAATGTAAAATTAAGCCTCAGAAAATGTTACAAACCAATAAGATAGCAGCAACTTATCACAAACCTTTTCTCTTAAGGAATAAGAAACAGCTCCAAAACAAGGGAACTCGTCGACTAGCGGTTTGAAGATTAACCTGAAAACCCCAGTGAATCCAATATTTTTCACCTAGACGAACAGTTAGAAAAAGAAGATCTTAAAGCCTCTATTTCACTAAACAAAATTACAAGATGATAAGCAATCAGTTGATGAGCATTTTACCTGAACAGGTAGTGCAAGACCAACTCTGGTTTTGATATCAAGCACAATATTGGGATTTCCATCCCACTGAAGCTCCAACTCCAGAGTGATTCCCCCAGCTACACTTTCACTTTCAACCACGGTAACTCCTAAAGGGCATCAACTACATGTATAAGTATCAATGCCGAAATCCAGTCGACGAATAGGATCAAGCTTGTGCTAGTTTGTAAGCAATGAAGAATGAAGCCAACCTGTGAACTGTGGAGCCACAGTGCCAAGGGTCAAGGTGGAGAATTTGAGTGACGACAAGATGACTGGCCTATACTGTTCGAGTATCGGTTCCACATTGCTCTTTATCAGCTCTGATGCTGCCTAATCCATCACAATGCACCCAAAAGAAACAACAAAAAACCAGAAGATTGACTATTGAAGAGGTGAAACTAAAAGAGTGAGAAAAAAAAAAAAAGGAGAGGAGAGAACAAGCATTACTTCATTAACGTAAGGCCACATCTTTTGAAGATGGTGGTTAAGCCAATTCAACTGTAATTCATAAAGATATGCTTGTTAGATATATACACATATGCATATACATAGAAAAGGCGGAAGAGCTCATATACTAGTAACTGTTTAATGTGATATCAGAACTCTAGTTAGGAGACATCCCTAATATTGAATCTGACCCAATTGCACGGTGAAAATAATATGCGCGAAACTTACCTCTACAAACCCAGCTTATATTTTTACCTTAGAGTAACAAATTCTACTTTCTGGATGTGAGACATTTGGTGCATGTGACATAAAGCAAACACACAAAGGGCAAAACACGAAGAAGAGAAGTTGGGGGGTTTTGTGAAATAAAACTCAACTTCTGGCGCTGCGTGAAGACGACCCAAGATGGATAATACTGGCTTGGGAGAAGTTTTCTTGAATCTTGCACTGTCATCCTTGCAAACGCTGCCACTGTCTTGGCCTAAAATCACACACAATACATCAACCAAGAAACAAAAAAAAAAAAAAAAAATTGAGAGAAAAGCAAACAAACATGGTGCAACAAGATTTGATTTGAATTGTAATGTACCAAATCTAAACGGCATTTGGATCGGATTCTCTCCGCCCGAGCAAAAGCCACGATCAACCCGATGCCTATGGCAATGCCAATAATCATTCCAATGAAGAACCCCATTTTGTTCAAATTCCACAAGGATTTCCAATGCCAAGAATTTTACTTGTGCTTCAGAAATTATATTTGGCCACACAGAGGAGCTTCTGAGAACAGAGACATTTGGTCCAACATGCTTGGATTGGAAGTTGGTTTATGGTGGGGAAACTGTAGGGGCAGGGAGGGATTAGCTTTGTGTGAATGAATTGATAGGAGCATTAATTGAGTGATTAGTTTGATCTGAAAAGAAGGAAGTGATTGGTTTTTTATTTTTATTTGTTTACATGTAATTTTTCTCACCTTTTTATCGGCAAAAATAAAATTAAAAAAAAAATAAATGAAAAGGGGAAACTCTTCTTGCCACATCTTTTTTCATGAACAATTTACTAGACGCAAGCTTTTTTTTTTATCTGCACTTATGGCGTAATTTATAAATGCAATCTCTCAAGCATTTGGGAAAAAAAATTATATTATGACCATACAATAAAAAATAAGATAAATATTTGTGTAAAACAGAACAGAAAATATAAAATAATAAACAGTAGGGCCATTAATGAGAACAAGAATTTGTAGAGATAATACTCCTTTGCGGTATCTGATTCGATTGATTTCCTATTTTAACCACAATCTCTCAGGTGACCCAACAGTATTAACTGCCGGTTTGCCACGTGCTGCCGCCATTTACAGGCTTCAGGCGCCAATTGGACAGCAATGTCAATTTGGCCCACATCACCACAATTTGGGCTATTAATCAATTATCCTTAAACAAGAATTCTAGCTTTTAGGTGAGGTCTTATTTCTTAATTGTTGGATCAAATTAATAAGCCGTTAGATCAAATTCGTTAGTCTAATCCAACAATTAAGCGATAGGACCTCACATAAGAGCCATATATAAGGCCCTCATTATAGAATGACTCTATCATTAAATACGTGGACTATTGACCCACAAACGCCAAAGGAATGTAAATTTTTTGCTTTTTTATTTTTTTTATTGTTTTTAATGTTAGACTCCTTTTTTCTTTTAAGTTTTAAGAGCTTCTTCAACAATAATAGCAAATCAAATTCTTTAAATTAAAGTTTGTTGACCTACGTGGTAATTTGAAAAGCTTTGTATGCTACCTTAATATTTTGTGAACCAGTATTAGACTCTTCAATTCAATTAATACAATATTATAAAAAAAATAAAAAATAAAAAAACATGTAAACCTATTTTATAGAGCATTTACTCAATAATAATAATAATAATAAGTTTGGTATATAAATCTTTGTTTGGGGTTTGGAATATGCATCTCTTTTTCCTTATTCTTCTTAAACGTGTCAAAGCCAAGAGTACACTTGGCATAATATGCATGCATGCACGTACGTTTATTCCATGCATATGTTATTTATACCTGCTGCTAATATAATTGGCGACATGACTGATTGTGGGCGTGGCAAATCTTTTTGTCAAATCTTATTATTCTCTTTTCATCATCTCCATATCTCGGATGTTCTAGATTTCTAATTATGTGTCCTCTTCTCCAGAAATTCATCTTTATTTTTCAATTTTTTTTTATCAAAGCATCTTATTTTCTTGTTTATTCTTCATATGAGTTTAGCCAAGTTGGTTAGAGCAGATGTGCTTCCCACTCTACACTCGAGTTCGAATGCCTCTACCTATTAAAGTAAAACATTGCGAGTTAAAAAAAAAAAACAAAACTATTACTATGCTTATTTTTCTGGGTCAAAACTATGTGTAATATGTTAACACAGTTAATCAGTTTAAAGTGGGTAATAATTAATTTCTACCTACAATCTGATAATTACTTTGTGCTCAAGCTGTCCAATTGATCAATAATGCACATAAGTCAAGTAATATGGCCATTAAATTAGTTAGAAAGTTAGAAGAGTAGACCCACCAAATCTTTACCTACCGTTCGGTCTTAAAATAAACTATATTTGTAATAGGAAATTAAAGGATAAAATCTCTTCACGATTGAGAGAAGCCATGGAATTTATTCCTTTGTTTACATAATTATGCACCGTCCTTGATGTTGAAATGAGTTTAAGAAATTATTTGGTCAAGGCTGTTTTATATAATACTCGTATGGTATTTTCTTCAACGATTATTCTCATTATTATACGGCTTTATAATTACCTAGATTATTGTCAATTGCATAAATTAAATAAAATGTCACACATCACTTGTTTTTTTTGTTGGTCTAACATTCACTCACAAATATCCAAGTGTGGTTTCTAGTAGAATGATGAGTGTATCTAAAGCTTAACACTTTCCAACAAGGAAAAAAATTAAATAAAAGTAAGTTTATGCAACTTTTTTATTTCCAGAGAAATCGCAAAGTCACGGAAAATTTCTCCGAAAACGTCTCTCTCACTCAATCTCTCTCTCTACTCCGTCATTGTCACCAATTTCCAATACATCACCATAACCATCTCTCTCTCTCTCTCTCTCTGCGAAAGCTCTAAAGCTATATATAAAACTGTGAGCAGAGTGCTCTGTTTCAGGTTCTGTATACAATGGCGGGAAACGACTGGGTGAACAGTTACTTGGAGGCGATCCTGGACGTCGGTCCGGGCCTCGACGACGCCAAATCGTCGCTGCTTCTCCGAGAACGCGGTCGTTTCAGTCCCACTCGTTACTTTGTCGAAGAGGTCATCACTCGCTACGATGAGACCGATCTTCACCGCTCCTGGGTTCGAGTACGTTCGATTTCTCTCACACGCCATTTCTGTTTTGAATCGGATCGATTTTCTCTTTTTTTTTCAAAAAAAATTTGTTTTCAGGCTGCCGCTACGGCGAGGAGCCCGGAGGAGAGGAACACGAGGTTGGAGAACATGTGCTGGCGGATTTGGAATTTGGCTCGCAAAAAGAAGCAGGTCTTTTTATATACATAATATATAATTCCCTGTTTTCGTTTAATTTGTCTTCTAATGCTTTTTCATGATCAATATATTAAGCTGCTTATCATTGCCTTATTTTTCTGATTTTTAACTGAGCAAATGAAAAAAAAAAAAAAAAAAGTGAAAAATTTTCATTAAAAAGGATAGAGAATTTTCAAATTTTCAGAAACTTTGGTTTGGAATATCAAATATCGATTGCTAGTTACATTGAATCATTCTCACTCACAGTTGGGATTTTGTCTTATTGCTAATTCCATTTCTTTTTATGGAATTTATGTTTTTTTAAAAACAATTTCTCTAGGCAATTACTAGGTGGAAGTGATTTTTTTTGTTTTAATTTTTCCGGGAGGGGGTGGTTTAAGTTTTTGGCTTTAAAATGTTGCTGGTGTTGTTCTGCTACTTGATCAGCTTGAGGGAGAAGAAGCTCACCGTATGGCGAAATGGCGTCTTGAACGTGAACGAGGCAGGAGAGAGGCAACTGAGGATATGTCAGAAGACTTATCTGAAGGAGAGAAAGGAGACACAGTGGGCGACCTTTCAGCTCATAGTGATAGCAATAGAGGAGGAAAAATGAAAAGAATCAGTTCTGCTGATGCGATGGAGAATTGGGCTAGTCAACAAAAAGAGAAAAAATTCTACATCGTGTTAATAAGGCATGAACTGAGCTTTTTTTATATAATTTAACTTTCAGATATGGAATCTATCTGGTTTTTTTTCATACAGGCGAAAGACCAGTTAGTTATAATGTCTGAATAAAGTGATTTATGATATCTATGGAATGCATGGTAGTATTTGATTCTTTTTAACAAGCAATCTTCCTGCAGCCTTCATGGCTTGATCCGTGGCGAAAACATGGAGCTTGGTCGTGATTCTGATACTGGTGGCCAGGTAACTTTTGCAAATGGAAACTGTTATTTCCACTATTAATCTCGATGTGGTTGTGCATTTAATCGATGATTATTGAATGCATTTATAAACTGGATCTTAAACTTCTTTGTTACTTGCATTGGAGTATAAATGTTGTCATCATTATCAGGTCAAGTATGTAGTAGAACTTGCCAGGGCCTTAGGTTCAATGCCTGGAGTTTATCGGGTCGATTTGCTAACAAGACAAGTGTCAGCTCCAGATGTGGATTGGAGTTATGGGGAACCAACTGAAATGCTGAATCCAATAAACTCTGAGAATTCAAAGGACGAGCATGGGGAGAGTAGTGGAGCTTATATAATCCGCATACCATTTGGCCCAAAAGATAAATATATTCCAAAAGAAAACCTTTGGCCCCACATTCCCGAGTTTGTTGATGGTGCACTTAACCACATTATACAGATATCCAAAGCTCTGGGAGAGCAAATTGGAGCTGGGCAACCAGTTTGGCCCGTGGCAATTCATGGACATTATGCAGATGCAGGTGACTCTGCTGCTCTTCTATCTGGTGCTTTGAATGTCCCAATGGTATTTACCGGTCACTCACTTGGACGAGATAAGCTTGAACAACTTTTGAAACAAGGACGTCAATCAAGAGAAGAAATAAATACTACATACAAAATAATGAGACGGATAGAAGCAGAGGAGCTAACTCTTGATGCCTCTGAGATTGTTATAACCAGCACTAGACAAGAGATAGAATCGCAATGGCGCTTGTATGATGGCTTTGATCCAATACTAGAACGTAAACTGAGAGCAAGAATCAAAAGGGGTGTAAGCTGTCATGGCAGGTTTATGCCTCGCATGGTTGTAAGTTTTATCTCTCCACAGTCCTTTATTAAGCTTTTGGCCTCCTTTGCACTAAAAGGACATTGTATCCAGTGATAGAAATGTTATTCGTACTAACTTTCAATTCTCGTTGTGTTGGTTAGGTAATACCTCCCGGAATGGAATTTCATCATATTATTCCACATGATGGTGACGCAGATGGTGAAGGGGAAAGACATGATGATAGTTCTACTTCTCCTGACCCGCCAATTTGGTCAGAGGTTATAGCTTTTCTTTCTTCTCATATTATACTTTTGATTTTTAAGCCAGATACATTCATGTTGTTGCTCTTTTTGTGTAATGTCGTCCATATGAAATTATGCATTGAGATATATGTGCAGATGGTGAAGGGGAAAGACATGATGATAGTTCTACTTCTCCTGACCCGCCAATTTGGTCAGAGGTTATAGCTTTTCAATCTTCTCTTATTATACTTTCGATTTTTAAGCCAGATACATTCATGTTGTTGCTCTTTTTGTGTAATGTCGTCCATATGAAATTATGCATTGATATATATGTTTTTTTTTCTTTGCTGTAGTTATTTTGATTATATTTTTAATATTTATGATTTTGTATTGGCAGATCATGCGTTTCTTTACCAATCCACGGAAGCCTATGATACTTGCCCTTGCCAGGGCAGACCCTAAAAAGAATATTACGACCTTAGTCAAAGCATTTGGAGAGTGTCGCCCACTGAGGGAACTTGCTAACCTTGTATGTTCAAATTTTTTAACTTTACCTTCCTACCATCTATTTCATAACTCCTGAAAAATCGGCGAGGCTTCCTTTACTCATTCAAATTTTTAAAAAGAGTGTTTTAAGAATGTTTTATTCAGTTACTCTCTCATTTTCTGTCATGACAGACACTGATAATGGGAAACCGTGATGATATTGATGAAATGTCCAGCACAAATGCCTCCGTGCTTCTTTCCATTCTTAAGCTGATTGACAGATACGATCTTTATGGCCACGTGGCATATCCAAAACACCACAAGCAGTCTGATGTTCCTGACATTTATCGTCTGGCAGCAAAAACAAAGGTACTTTTATTTCTTAATAGTAGTATTACAACTAGTTGAACCACTTGCAGATCCTCAAAGGATATAACAGTACCAAATAACTCAACTAGTGCCTGCTGTGTGCAGTTTTCTTTTAGGTATATGCCTAGTCTAGCTCAGAGTCGTACTAAGTTCAAGTTAGAACCAAATTTGGCTAGGCATGATTGTGGCGAGCACTTATTTGAGTTGAAGTTAGACTTAACTCTTCTGCCCAAGAAATCTGAGGTTATTTAATGTTGAAATCAATCCTGACTCTGCTCAACTGGTGGAGCTTTTTAATTTCCTATATAACAAAAGGAAAAGTGGCTATGCAAGCGTTTTTTGTATCTGCTCAAAATAACAGGAAAAATGGCTACCTCTCATATTACAATTTAAGAAGAGTAAAGATGGTGTTTAATGAAGAACTAAAGATCAAAAGCTCTTTTTAACTTGGCAACTGTATAATGCCTCAGAGGAAGGGGAATTCATAATGAATACCTTGGTTATAAATTATACTGAATCTTTGTTCTGTGGCGTAAATGGTACAGTATAGGAACTTTCCAGTTTCAATACTTTTAGTTTTGACATAGAATAATGTCTTTTAGGCCTATTCATTTTCACTTGGAAATCCATTTTGACGTGATATTCAGCTCTTGGACCAAGAAAAGTTATATGACTCAAGTTAATACATATGATGTGGGCTCTCTTTTGCAGGGTGTTTTCATCAATCCAGCTTTCATTGAGCCATTTGGACTTACTTTAATTGAGGTACATGTCTCTACCTTATCAGAGGAATACATGTTAAATGTTAATTTATATAAAATCCAACACAAGATCCTTTGTTGAATAGGCAGCAGCTTATGGTCTACCTATTGTTGCCACTCAAAATGGGGGTCCTGTTGATATTCATCGGGTATGTCTGTCCTGGAGCACATTCCTATTCAATTGAAAGATTCTCTCATTTGCTTAGTGGAGCTGTAGTGAGTTAAATGTTCAATACTATTATCAATACTGACTACTGAGTGCGGACAACTGAATTGCGACAGGTTCTTGACAATGGTCTACTAGTTGACCCCCACGATCAGCAGTCCATTGCGGATGCCCTTCTGAAGCTTGTTTCGGATAAGCAACTTTGGGCAAGATGCAGGCAGAATGGACTGAAAAACATTCATCTTTTCTCATGGCCAGAGCATTGCAAAACATACTTATCTCGCATTACCAGTTGCAAACCAAGGCAGCCACAATGGCAAAGAAGTGATGCTGAAATTGACAATTCAGATTCAGATTCACCTAGTGACTCTTTGAGGGATATACAAGATATATCTTTGAACTTGAAGCTCTCATTGGATGGTGACAAAACTGAAGGGACTGGTGCTCTTGATAATGCTTTAGAGTCTGATGAACGTGCCGCTGGAGGGAAGATTAAGGAGCAGAATACTGTTTTGACATTGTCAAGAGGTGTATTACGGGGAAGTCCAAAGGCTGGCTCAGCAGAGAAAGAAGACAATAATTCTGGGGTTGGTAAATTTCCGGGATTCAGGAAAAAGAAGTATGTATGTGTTATTGCTGTGGATTGTGATACAACATCAGAGTTTACTGAGATCATTGAGAAGGTTGTTGAGGCAGCAGGGAAGGACAAGGATGCAGGATCTATAGGATTTATACTGTCAACAGCCTTGGCCATATCTGAGATACATTCTCTTTTGATCTCAGGGGGTTTGAGTCCGTCTCAGTTCGATGCTTTTATCTGTAACAGTGGTGGCGAGCTCTATTATCCATCTTCAAGCTCTGACGATAGTCCTTCTGGGCTTCCCTTTGTGGTGGATTTAGATTACCGTTCACACATTGAATATCGTTGGGGTGGAGAATGTTTGAGAAAGACATTGGTTCGTTGGGTTGCTTCTTTCAATGAAAAAAAAGGAGGGCAAACTGTTACAGAACACAGATCAGGATCAACTAACCATTGCTATGCGTACAAAGTGAAAGATCTGGCATTGGTAATATCTCTTTCCGTTTCATTCATGAAAATCTCCTTTGGAAAAAAAGTGATATTTCCTCATCAACCCTCCATGTGCTTTGTGTGTGTCTTTGGGTCAAGGGTACCTTATTAAACTAGCTTTATATTTAGTGTTGCAAATTACATTTTACTACCTTATTACTTTCAGGTTCATTGCTTCATAAGAACTGCTTCTTTATTTCTTGCTTTTAAATTACTTGAGATGTCTATTATGTCATGACAGATTCCCCCTGTTAAGGAACTCCGGAAACTCATGAGAATTCAGGGTCTCCGTTGCCACGTTATATATTCTCAAAATGGTACCAGGCTGAATGTTATCCCTGTTTTGGCTTCTAGATCACAAGCTCTCAGGTACGAATGCAGATGCCATTTTGTTTCCCCAGTTTTTAGCCAGCAATTTATCTCTGCTGTTTGTTACTTCTATATATTAGAAATTGATTCAAACCACTGGCTCTACAGGCTATTAATTTGTTCACAACTTTCAAATTTTATTTTGTCCTGCTAATTAATTGCCCCATATACTGAGATAAGTCTAAATATTAACAAAAGGAGACTCACTCTGGACTTGATAATAAATATAAAAAAACAGAGATCTTTGCTCAATGATGTAGGAAAACAGAATGAAAGCTCATTACTTATATGCTTCCCTTCGAATCCATGATATCCTATTTCTCTCCTCTGTATCTTACACTGCCTCGTCTCTCTAAGGATTAGATAGCAATTGTAGTGTCTACGTCTCTTTTGTATCGCTAATATTTGGTCTCCAGGTATCTGTATGTCCGTTGGGGCTTGAACTTGTCAACCGCTGTTGTCTTTGTGGGAGAATCTGGGGACACGGATTATGAAGGCTTGCTTGGTGGGTTACACAGAACTGTCATACTTAAGGGAGTTAGTTGCGGTGCTCGTAAGCTTCATGCCAACAGAAACTATTCTTTAGAAGATGTATTCCCAAATGACAGTCCCAATATGACTCAAAGTGAAGGATGCTCCCAAGAAAACATAAGAGCATCGCTGTCGAAACTAGGGATTCTCAAGCGGTAGAACAACCCCAGCTCATGCACTTTCAGTGCTAGATTCCACATTCTCTTTAACCGGCCTTCTTGAACTGCAAATTACTCGAAAACTTCTTCTTTACAGTACTTGTATTGTTGGCATTTTTGCAACAGGAGCAATTTGGATGCTCTGCTTTTAAGCGTGACCCTTCTATGCTAGGGATCAAACCACTTGTTTTAATTTTCTAGTTTTGTTCAACAGCAAAGGCAGTGTTGCTGTTCTCTATGGTTATATAAGTGGAGAACTGACCTCCACTGTTGCATATTCTCATTATGTAGATGTCTCTCTTACATTTAACTATGTGTTTTGCAATCATTAAGATCTTTTCTGTTACATGTGACGATAACTCGGGTCGATGCGGTTAGCCATAGCTTTGCTCTTAAACTTACTTTTGATCCTTTTGATTCATCTAAAACAGGCTCTATGTATAGGCTAATCTTTGTTTTACTACCTTAATTATCACTTTAATGCCAAGGCCACCCTTAGACTTTGGGGCTACAGATCCTTTTTGTTTGCACCCTCAAAGGAAATCCCTTTTGATCTTGTCAATTTCATTGCGGTTATGGCCAGGCTGTTTGGCTGCTTCAATAGCATAGTTGGGCATATATTGGATTACTTTCTCACTCCATTAATGTTTTACATTCCCAAAAATTGATAATAATTGTTCAAGATCTCAATCAAGGTTTTTTTTTTCCTAAGAAAATCTCAACAAATACAACCTTTTGTATTTTCTTTTACATCCTACACAGTACAATATATAATGATGACTCACCGGAAATGTGGAGGCCTACTCAAATACAAAATCCTTTTGAAATCAAACTAAGCGCCTAACAACTCCATTAATATTTATCCCAAAAAGGAAAAACAATAAAATCATATTAATTATCCCACAAAGGATACCAACCTAATATCAAGCTTTTCAGTCATTGCTGAAAGACTCATACTCATAGCAAAACACTCAACTTCAACTTCTCCTTCTTTTCTTTCTTTTCCTTTTCCTTTTTCCCTCTAAATAGAACAATAATTAAAAAGAGGGCAGTGAGTGCAGCCAGCCAGATTGTTTGGCCATGGCTGTCTCTGGTTGCACCCAAACTTGTTTGATATACCCTTCTCTTTTTCTCATCCTCGTCTTCTCTTTCGTGAACCCCCATTTCCACTTTTTCCCATTTCCATACAAGTCCAATGACTGCAACAACGATCTCTACAATGCCACCAGAAATAGTTCCATTCATAATGTGCCTCCTGTAAGTTACACAACTTGTATATATTGATCACATTCTTTGTGTTGGGCTCATTTTGAAAGAGAACAAGCAAAAGGAGAGAGAGAGAGAGAGAGAGAGAGAGAGAGAGTAAGATCATTTCTAGGATATGGCCTTATGGTGCTTTGTTGTGTCTCATGGCCAAAAAAAAAAATATATATATATATATATATTTTAAATATTTTTTATGGGTTTTAATTTTGTTTTGTATATGCAGATGCAAGTGAGGAAGAACGTTAACCAATTTGAGAAAATGGAAGATGGGTTGGCTAGAGCAAGAGCTGCAATACGAGAAGCTGCTCGATCAAGAAGCTACACATCGTACAAAAAGGAGGCTTTTGTTCCCAGAGGATCGGTTTACATCAACCCTTATTCCTTTCATCAGTTAAGATTTTCTTATCCTATACTTCTCTTTGGTTAGACTTGGTCTTTGCTTTTTTTGACCATTTTTGGGTCAAATTCATCCGAGTAATTCTGAGTCAATGTGTGCCAACTCGCTTACCAAGCAGTTGCTATATGATAATGTTTATTGTTCTATTCCTGAAAATGTTCCATTTAGCTAATACATTACGTCTAAATCATTTAAACCCATTAAATAGGAGAATCCCTTTTGTGGAATTTTTTTTTGGTTGGTTGAAAATGAAATGACTTTAATGGAATTAATTTCCAATTTTCCCTGCAAATGAAATGATGATCTTTTTTTGTAACCCAAAAAAAAGTTGATCCGTTTTTCTCATTTAAAATACACAAAAACACATATTTTAGGGCATTTTCTTTGCATGATCTAGATAGGATACTGATTTAGATATCAAACAGCTTTCCCCAAAAGCTTAAGCTATCAGAAAATGAGCTAACAATGTATATTTTGTAAATTTTGTAGTTTATATATAATCTCTTAACAATGGCAAAAAGTCAGTGTCACGTTTTGGGCATCCCAAGGTGCCTTGTTTAATTGTTTGGGTTTTATAGAAACATAGCATGGGTGATGTAGTGGTGCACCATAGGCATTGAGTGAATGAGCTTTGCCTCTTCTGTGCTTACACAAACCCTTTATATTCTTCATCTAGTTCTGAGAATTGTGCACTCTAGGATTCTGATTTATGGTCTCCCATCCGCAGGCATTTAAGAATATAGTACCCTTAACTAAGTAAGGTTCCTTATGGAGAAAACATATGCATAGCAAAAAATGGGTGTATTTTTGTAATATTTACATGCATGCGTGACTCTGCATGCGCCCATCAACATGCAACACTTGTAGGCTTTTGTAGCTGTAGACTCTATGGATTCAAGGGCAGGCACCAAAATGGCAATCGGCACCGTTAATTTTTTCCCTGTAGTGTCTTATGTAGGTCATGCCTTTTCTAAGAAAAAGTTGACAATTACATTCTGAAATTCGCAGAAGGAATAATGAATGAACTAAAAGGACCACATTTCAAGCACATAATGTTTATTTACTCAAACGTATAATGTATAATTAATCATTATTATGAACAGGAGCCACATAGAGATGGAGAAGAGATTTCGAATTTGGACATACAAAGAAGGAGAGCCACCACTCTTCCAAGAGGGGCCAATGAACGACATATACTCCATTGAAGGACAATTCATGGACGAGTTGAGCGGAGAGAGCCCATTTTCTGCAAAAGACCCCGATGAGGCCATCGCATTCTTTCTTCCTGTCAGTGTCGTCAACATTGTGAGATATGTCTACAGGCCTTACACCACCTACTCTCGTGTCCGGCTTCAGAACGTTATTGAGGACTTCATTGGCATCGTATCGAAGAGATACCGTTATTGGAAGAGAAGCAATGGGGCTGACCATTTTTTGGTTTCTTGTCATGATTGGGTATGTCACTTTTCGAAAATTAGCAACAACCCAATAATCAGTAAATCTATTTGTACCGTATTTACTGATTATAACTATCATATACATGTAAAGTGTCTTGATGAATAAATATAGTACATTAAAATTACTCGAACATAATTGTCACATGTTTATTCAACTAATGATTCTCCTTGATTATTTGATTACATTTTCAGGCACCGGATATTTCAGCTGGCCACCCAGAGCTTTTCAAGAACTTCATTAGAGTACTCTGCAATGCCAACTCTTCAGAAGGTTTCCGGCCAGTCCGAGACGTCTCCCTGCCCGAAATCAATATCCCTTTCGGAGACTTAGGCCCTCCCCTCCTCACCCACCCCCCTAGAAACCGTTCAATATTTGCTTTTTTCGCAGGTGGCGATCACGGGAATGTAAGAAAGCTGCTATTCAAGCATTGGAAAAACAAAGACAAGGAAATCCAAGTCTATGATTACCTTCCCAAAACCCTAAACTACACACAGCTAATGGCGCAAAGCAAGTTTTGCCTGTGCCCTAGTGGGTGGGAAGTTGCGAGCCCTAGAGTGGTTGAGGCCATATACGCAGGCTGTGTCCCAGTGATCATTTCTGACTCTTATGTGCTGCCATTTAGTGATGTGCTTGACTGGTCTAAGTTTTCGGTTCACGTGCCGGTGGCAAGGATACGGGAGCTGAAGGCAATTCTGCAAACGGTTTCTGTGCATGAGTATTTGAGAAAGCAAAAGAGGGTCATACAAGTGCAGCGCCATTTTGTGCTCAATAGGCCTGCCAGGCCTTTTGATTTGTTGCATATGGTGATGCACTCAGTTTGGCTCAGGAGGCTTAATGTGAGGTTGCTGAGGTGATGCCAGGATGGGGGTTTTTGTGTACAATTGTGCTTTTTGTTTTTCCCTATTGATCTTGAAGATTAATGTATAGGATATTGTAGCCAGAATTTGTGTTAATTAAAGGCCCGTTTGATAACGATTTCAATTTTAGTTTTTAGTTTTCATTTTTTGTGCTAGAGTGTAGAGGAAAATGAGAGTGAGGATGAGAGGGAGGAGTAACAAAAGTAAAAACAAAATCTTGAAAGTGAAAACAATTTGAAATAGATTTCAGTTTTTAGTTTTTGTTTTCACTTTTGTTACTCATCTCTCCCATTCTCTCCTCTCATCTTCCCTCTCAATCTCATCTCCACTCTCATTCTCACTTCCATTCTCCATCTTTTTCCTCCATAGTCCATACTCTAGCACAAAAAATGAAAAATAAAAACTAAAACAGAAATAGTTATCAAATAGGCCCTAAGTAAATAAAATTTGTATTATTTTAGAAACAAGCTATGCTGTAGAAGATATATGCGTTAATCAAATAGGCTTCTTTTTCTTAGTAACCTTACATGCTAATATACTATAATTATAATCAAAACAATGTCATTTTACTATTTAAATTTCAGAGTTCAAATTAAGAAGATAAGTAAAGGGCGATTTTGAATGAGGTATTTTTGGATATGTTACCAACTAATTATTTGTTTAACAGTATTTCTCTTCTGAATATATAATAGAAGGGGCCCCAAATTCGAATCCCCTCTTTGTATGTGTGAACCGTTGATTCAGTAGATCCCACTCCATCAATTATCAGTTTGGTAATTGGGATTTTCATTTTTATTTTTTCATTTGGGAAATGTAATAAATTAAAGAGAAATGAAGAAAGTGTACAAAATTGGGAATTTGGAGGGAAAATTAGTTATGAAGCGCTCGAAACAACCATGACTTTGTAGACTTGTAGTCGCGTCAACCGTTACCCCTATAGGCATTAGCACATGATCGGCTTTCTCACTAGCTCACGCCCCATACTATAAGGATAGAGGGTCAAATCGGTCATTCCACTATCTCCTCACACCGTCACGCACTTTTAACTCCTCACTCACGCCTTCAAATTTTCTCAGTCTCAGAGCCATAACACAGAGAAACAGAGGGAGCGTAATTTTCCCAGGAAAACAGAATCGCAGCAACCAAACAGTCTAATTCATTTCTCTAGATATAAATTTTTTTACACTAAAACAGTGTTTTGAGATGGAGAGCCTGAGCTTCCATGTACAATACTCCTCGGCATCTGTGCTGCTCTCACTCTGCATTGCGTCGATCATCACCGTTTCAATGATCTGCGGCCATCATTTCGATCGTTCGGTTAGAATCTCCGGTGCGGAAGTATATCAGTAC